GCAGGCAGCTGCGGGGCTCGGGCATGCAATGAGCAGGGCGCGGGCGCGGCCGCACAGCCCCCGGGCGCGGGTGCGCACACGGACAGCGCGCGCGCGCGCCACAACTCCGCAGGGTGGCCGAGCAAGGGGAGCGGGAGGCTCGAGACAGGGGGCCTCCGCGCCCCGGGGTCTTCGGGGGGCTCGCGGCGGGGAGGCGGGGCGCCTCCTCCTCGAGGTGCCCTCTTGTGGTGCCCGGGGGGGGCTCCACCCTCTCTCTCGCTGAGGGGGAGGAGGAGGAGGAGTAGGAGTAGGAGTAGGAGGAGGAGTAGGAGGAGGAGGAGGAGGAGGAGGAGAGGAGGAGGAGGAGGAGGAGGAGTAGGAGGAGGAGGAGGAGGAGGTGGAGGAGGAGTAGGAGGAGGAGTAGGAGTAGGAGTAGGATTAGGAGTAGGAGTAGGAGTAGGAGTAGGAGTAGGAGTAGGAGTAGGAGGAGGAGGAGTAGGAGGAGGAGGAGGAGGAGGAGGAGGAGGAAGAGGAGGAGGAGGAGGAGGAGGAGGAGGAGGAGGAGCTCTCTCTCTCTCTCTCTCTCTGCGCGGCACGCCTGGGAGGAGGAGGCCCGTGCACGTTGCCCCCCCGCCCCGCGGCATCCCGTGGAGCTCGCCGCGCAGCTGTCCTCAGTGGCTGTGTCTGCTGGCAGCCGTGCGCTGCACCAATGGGAGCGAGGCGCGCAGGCGCTCTCATTGGCGTCGCCTCCAGGCCGAATTCGGCAACGGACATGCAGATGACAGCTCGTGTGTGTTTGACTTCGTCTCTATCCCTGTCTCTCTCTCTCTCTCTCTTTTTCTCTCTCTCACTCTCTCTCTCTCTCTCCATCTCTCTCTCTCTCTCTCCTCTCCATCTCTCCATCTCTCTCTCTCTCTTTCTTTCTCTCTCTCTCTTTCGCTCGCTCTCTCTCTCTCTCTCACTCTCCTCTCTCTTCGTCTCTCTTTATATCTCTCCATGTAGAGCTGGACACGGCCCCTCACGGGATTTGGTCTGCCGATGCCCTCACTCCCACCGTAGGGTCTGCCTGCACGCTGTTTTTGTGTTCCAGGCCTGCGATCCGCCTTTTTGTTCCGGATCCAGATCCCCTCTCCTCTCCATCCTCTCCCCGACCCGGTCGGGGAGAGGGTGGAGAGGGAGTGGGCGGCGGACGGGAGATGAGGAAGCGCAGGATGAAGGGAGAGGTGATGAGGAGGAGTGGAGGAGTGAAGAGCGGGGTGAAGAGAGGGAGTGGACGCGGGAGGAGAGGAGGAAGGCCAGGATGAAGGGAGCGGTGATCTGTACGAGGAACAGCTAGATGAAAAAGGGGGAGGTGATCTGGATGAGAAAGACGGGTGGGTGAAGAGGAGGAAGGTCAGGATTAAGGGAGAGGTGATCTGGAGGAGGAAGAGCATGATGAAGCGTGGGAGGTCATCTGCATGAGGAGCAAGGGATGAGGAAGAGGAAGAGCAGGACGAAGGGAGAGGTGATCTGCAGGAGGAAGAGCAGGATTAATCGAAGGAGGTGATCTGCATGAGGAGGAAGGGAGCTGGAAGAGGAGGAAGAGCAGGATGAAGGGAGAGGTGATCTGAAGGAGGAAGAGCAGGATGAATCGAGGGAGGTCGGCAGGCCCGTCATGATTTTTCCGCGGCGGAGGTCGAGGTTTCAGTCGGGCATGTCCTTGTACAGGAGGAGTATCCAAAAGTAATCAAAGCACAGTCCAATCTGGGGACGATTGGTCGACTACTTTTGAGCAGTTGTGAACCGTGTTTGCCTGTTTTGGTTTTCCGTCGAGAATTCGCCTGTAGGAGGGCACGCCCGACATAAGTCTACGTCGTCTCCCCTGCAACCCCCCCCCCCCACGGGCTGTCCTGAGTGGCGTTCCGACCAGGCCTCGGAGCCTGTTCTTTTTAGAGACTCTGGCAAGTTTACTTGAATGGACGGGGGAGGGGGGGGGCTGAGCCTGAAGCAAGCCGCAAACGACTTGCACGTTCGGGGGGGCGTGGAAATCGCGCAAGTCGAAAGGCACTTGCACGCCAGTATTCGCTTGAAGAGGGGCGAGGGGGGGGGGGGGGGCGAACGCCATGCAAGTAAACTTGCCTGAATCCAAAAAAAGCAGGCTCCTGCACCCCCCCACCCCACCGGCTGTCCTGGGTGGCGGTCCGACCAGGCCTCGAGGGGGGCCCCGCTGCGGCGGCGTGGGTGCCCCGGGGAGGCCCCCCGCGGGGGGCGAGAGGCGTGCACGGCGAGGCGCGAGCCCCGATGATGCCGGCCGCGGTCGGACCCCCGGCACGGCGCGTGGCCCGTCCCCTGGCGGCCGTGGTCTTGCCAGGCCGCCTGGACACGAGCAGAGGGTCTCGGCATCGCTCGCGAACGTGTGCATTGTTCCCTCGGCGAGGACGATCTAGGAGCATCCTTGATCCTCTGGCGAAAAATCCACGCGCGAAAGCAACAAAAAACACCGGGAATGGACGTCCGAGCGATGGCGCAGCGGCAGGATCGCGCCGCGCTGGCGCGGAGGCACCTCCAGCGTGGGCGCTGGCTTTCATAGGGCGTGCCCCTCTACAGGAGGAATTCAGAGCCCCGAATCATCAGGGGTAACTCGGGTCAGGGTTAACTCGGGTTCGTTTTTCGGGAATCCGAACCCGAGTTATCCCGGACCCGAGTTACCCCGGATATTTCGGGCGTCCAGAGCCCCGAATCATCAGGGGTAATTCGGGTCAGGGCGGGCGTCCAAGGAATGGTCAAGAATAGTCAGAAATAGGCATGGGACGATGTGCTGACTGGTTGTTGCCATGTCGGGGCATTTGGGGGGTATTGTTCCCCCCCCGAACTCCCCCTGTAGGGGGGGGCATGTCCGACCTGAGCGTTGGAGGCTGAACGCCGCCATTGGCCCAGAGTCGGCCGGCATCGAACGATCTGCGCTGTCGGAAAGCCATGATCGTTCAAGGTTGAGCGATCCGCATTGTGTCAGACACCAGCCCCGACGTCATCGCGACGTGGACCTGCCGTACCACAACATGTTTTTGGTACTGCACATGGTTGCCGGACGCGTTCCTCCAACCAGGGCGCGCAGTATTTTCACACATCCGACGGTGCGATTTGTCATGTGGCGGTCCTAGACTTCCCGATCTGCTTCCCGGGAACAGTTTTTCATCCCGGACCAATGTTTGATAGTCCCGGGGCCCGAATCAGCTGCGGAAATCGAGGAACAAAAACAGGATCAACAACAACATAGTGGAAGGTTTGGGCTACTGGCCAGTACGTCCTTCTGCGCCCCATGGGGGTCGCCCCCATCCTCAAGCAGTGGCGAAGCGTCCTGGCTCGCCTATAGGCCCACCAAGGAATGTTTGAAGGATTGTTCGTGGTCTGCGCGAACTGTTATTAAACCATTTCCAGGTTGAGACTGTCTCGCTTTAGCGCCTCGGGCTTGTGCTCTAAGCGCATTGCTCGCGTTGCTGGAACATTTCTGGGTTCTTAGAACACGCCGTGGTAGTCCTACAGGAACGCCGGGACGGTCGGTCCCTGATGAACCCAGGGCCCGCCGTGCTCGCACGCTCGCCAACTGTCTTGCCGTCTTGCCCACGCGCGTTTTGCGTAATGGCTGCTTCAATCCTGGGTGGCTCTACAGCGTGCCTCTGGATGTCTTTAGGCGGGAACCCCCCTCCCTCTTTAGTCGCCCTCCCAGGTGGGAGGGCCAAGCCTGCCTGCTTCCAGCAGGCCGACACCTGGGGCCGATGCCAAACACCGTTCTCACGTCCTAGCCCGAGGCGTCTATGGACTCATTGGGTGCCGTGACGTCTATGGACCACGTCTATGGACCACGTGGCCGTTGCGTTCGGCGCGGTGCGAGGTCGGAGAACGGGTATGTCTGTCTACGGCAGGTCCTTGTTCTCGAGCTGGTCCCACACGGTACTCCAACTCCCAGGTGACGACCGAGTACAGTCGAGGCGGATTGGCAGGCCGACTCTGCTGAATCAAGGGTACCGTGGTGTCCCGTGTACTGCTCACGGCCCATGCCTCCTGCATTCATGTAGCACTGTGGCCCTCGGAAGGGTCTCGTGCCCTCGTGCGCGTCCTCTCCAATCAGCCTCGATGGTGGCCTCCATCCCTCCTGGGCTCCTCCTTCTGGTCCTGTCGGGGGAGCGTAAGACCCGAGTTTGCCAGGACTCGGGTTCGCCATCGTTTTTTGACGACCGCGCCTCGGATTTTGACGAGGAGGAGTTTCGTGGGATGTCTGCAGCGGGAGGCCTCGTCAGAATGCAAGCTCGGCCTCGTCATTTTTTCGACGACCTCGTCGGGGATTTCCGAGTCCCCTGTACCCGGGTCTTACGTCCCCCTGATCCTGGTCCTGGCCTCTCCTCTCCCGGCCCCCCCCCCCCCCCCCCGCGCCTTCGGCCCTGCAGGCCCGTGCCCCTGGAGCTGGAGGAGGGGTCGGGCAGCGACGACGCCCTCGAGGGCGGCCCCGGGCGGCGCTGCGTCGGGGGCGCAGGCGGCGGCCACCCTCGCCGCGTGGGCGCCGTCGTCGTCGCCGTCGCCGTCGCCGTCGTCGTCGTCGTCGTCGTCGTCGTCGTCGTCGTCGTCGTCGTCGGCGTCGTCGTCGTCGTGGTCGTCGCCGTCGTCGTTTTCGTCGCCGTCGTCGTCGGCGGCGCCGTCGTGGTCGTGCTTGTGCTTGTGGTCGTGGTCGTGGTCGTGGTCGTGGTCGTGGTGGCGGTGGTCGTCGAGGTCGTCGGGGTCGTCGCGTTCTTCTTCGTCTTCGTCTTCGTCTTCGTCGTGGTCGTCGTCGGAGCGCCAGCTCGGCCCGAGCTTGCGGGCTCGCCGCGAGCCTGCGCCGCGGGCGCCCGCGCGCCACCCTCGGTCTCTCTCGTGCCTCTCTGCCCCTCCCCCCCCCCGCGGGCCATGTCGGAGGCGGTTGGCGGGGCGGCGCCGCGGGTCCGCTGCGCGCGGCGGCAGCGGGGCGTGTGCCGGCCTGGTGCGGGGCGGCCTTCGGCCAGGCCACGATCGAGGGCCGGGGCTCCGCCGGCCTCGCGCCTGGCGCTCCGCGGGGCGGCCGGCGGGAGGGCATGCTGGCGCGGGCGGGGGCCGTTCCCCCGGCCGTGGCCTCAGACCCGCACCCGAGGGTGGCGTGGAGGGGGCTTGTGTCTCAGAACAGGAGCCCTTGGTGTTTTTTCTGGCTCCTAGTGTCGCGCCCGCGAAGGGCGAGGCGGCCGTGGTCGAGGCCGCGGCGGATTCGGAGGAGGTGCGGGCGCTGGTTGTGCAGGGTGTGCCCCACGGGCGGCGCGGCGGGGGCCAAGATCGTGCCCGCGGAGGACGCGTTGGCGCTGGAGGAGAAGGTCATGGCGGAGTGCGGGGTGGCCGCGGGGGCCGTGGAGGAAGCCACAGAGCCGCTGGAGCGCGGGGAGGTGCCTGCGGCGGCGCGGCCGCCGTGCCGCCTCCGCAAGCAGAGGTTTCGGCCGCGCCGTGGGGGGGGGGGGCACCGAGGTGGAGCGCAGGCGCGCTTCGGTGAGTAAGCGGGGGGGCCTCGTCAGAGGGAAGTGCGCCGCGGAGGGCGGCCGCGCCGTGCTGGACACGCTCGCGTCCCAGCAAGTCTGCCAGCTCCTCGAAGGCCTCTCCGCAGAGGAGGCCCCGTCAGAACTGCGGCTGCGGCGGGGGCAGGGCGGGGAGGCGAAGGAACAGGGCGACGACGAGGACGCGCCCGGGGTCCCGAGGCGAGGCGAGGCCGCGAGGCGGCAGCGCCCGGGGGTCAGGAACCTTCGCGGGCAGGTGGGACGCTGGACTGCGGGGGCGAGTCTGCGGGGGGGGGGGGGCGAAGGCGGCGGCGCTGCGAGGCGCCCGGAGCAATCTTCAACCTCCTCTTGGCATCTGGCGTCTTGGGCTCCTCGTGGAATGGCCCGCGCAGCAGGAGCAGTGGGTCTCTTGGACGCCAGACGTTGCCCGACAGCTCCAAAGGGCGGATGGGGGCGAGGCGAGAAGGCGCCCGCGGGTGCGTGGAGCGGCCGCGCCCGCGAGGGCGGCGAGGGCGAGGCGCGCGGCGCCGAGCGGGAGGCCGCGCGAGCGTGCGCGGGCGCGGCGGCCGCCGCCCGTGCGCGCCGCCGCGGGCGATCCATCGGACTCGGAGCGCTTGCGGCCGCCCGCCGTCGCCAACGTCTCCATCGGACTCGTCGTCGTCGTCGTCGTCGTCGTCGTCGTCCAGCAGCCGTCGTCGTCGTCGTCGTCGTCGTCGTCGTCGTCGTCGTCGAGTTCGAGGCTCGAGATTCTCTGTCGCCAACTTCTCGAGGAAGAAGAGCACGGTATAACTATGAACACTGGGCGGTCCGCGCGGACTTCTTGGATCCGCGGTTGGCCCCGTGGGGGCGCCTCCGGCGCCCCCCTTGGCGCGGCCCGCGCGGAGCGCCAAAAGTTTATGCTTATCCTTTGTTGTAAGAAAACGAACATCGGCCCCCCGAGGCCTTTGTCGGCCCCCCGGGGCCCCCAGAAATCGACCCAGCACGCGGAGCTGCCCAAGATGGGTCCTAGGGAGGGGGTCGTGGGACCGGTTTTGAGCGGGTGCCTGTCGTCTTTTTCGACTGGTCGAGGTTCGGATATTATCGGTTTGGGATGCTCGTGGCCCCCATCAGGCCTCGGGAAGATTCGTCGTCGTCGTCGGCCCTCAGATCTGGGCGCTGCACAGCAACATCGCGATGGTTGTTTTTTCGTCGTCGCCTGCCTCAGGGGGCCAGGTCTGGTCAGGAGCAAGCAGTGGGACAAAGAGCGGGTGCAGCCGTCAAAGTCAGCTTCACGGAGGTGGAGCAAAGTTAGGCTCCCCGGTAGTCTTCCTCGTGTGCTTCCTCGCGCGCGCGCCGCCTACCTGCCGCTGTTTGGGACTCAAGGGCTCGTAGCTGTGGTGCCTTGCCAATGAAAAAGAGGAGGGTCGGGAGCGGGAGCTAACCGAGGCTTGGAGGTGTCGGGCAGAAATGGCGTGGTGGATCCTCGGTCTGAGAGCGCATTGGCAGATCACTTGGGCCACTTCGGGGCCCTCAAACGGACGTTCGGGAAGCTTTCAGGGCTCTCTCGGGTTTTTTTTCTGAGGGCGTTGGGGGCCCTCTCGGCCACTTGGGATGCCATTGATCAAAGTGGGCGCCACTTACGTCATACCCCCCGTCGGAAGCCATAGAATAGACTCTTGGGGCGTTGTTGGGCTCTCTTGGGGCCGTCGGTGGGCCCTCATGGGCATTTTTGGGGGCTCGATTGGAATATGTGGGAACCATGTTGGAGCCATCGGAAGCGAAAATGCAAAATGGCCCCACACATCAATTCCCTGATGGTGACGACACGAATTTGGTATCTCGGAGGCGTCCTTGGGAGACTCCGCGTGTTCTCTTGACATCATTGTGGGACCGTCTTGGGGCTTCGCGGGAGCATATCGGAAACTATAGTATGCCATCTTGTGCCGTCTGCGTCCTTTCCTTTTTGTGTAGTGGAGCATGGCAGTCAGGGGCACGAATTTTGGATTGCCCGCGTGCTTTCACCACGGGCGAAAACGCGGGTAACGGGGCGGGTTGTCCCGAGCTTTCTGGGGTCGCAGGCAAGCGCTTCGGGACAAGGGTCTCTTTCCTTAGTGTGCGGCGTTTTCAACAGCGCTTTGTGTTTGAGGTTCAAAAGAGTTGTCATGTTTTCCTCGGCGGAAGGTCGGCGGAAGTAACACAAGGCCGCCTCCGCCAGCGGAGGCCGTCGGAAGGGCGGCGGAAGGTGGCAGAAGGTAAACATGCGCCCCCCAGGAAATGCCAGCATTTTTTGGCTCCTGTTCCACGGTTTCCGCCACGTGTCCTTCCGATTGGGATGTTGGGTTCCTCGCGTGCACGACGTGCCCTCCATCCCTATCCAGATTCCGCGGCCTGTGGCGAAGCCGCCTCTGTTCCTGTGAATTCTCTCGGACGGGCCAGGGGAAGCGTGCAGGCTCACCGGCGGCAGCGGTGTCCGCGGGTTTGTCCCCGAGTCCACTCACTGCGGCCGGACTGCGGTCGAGGTCTCCGAGGACGGGTGGCTTCCGCGGGCCACCCCGCAGGTTTCGGACGATTCCTCGCAGTGGTCGTTGGGCGTATGTGGAAGCCGTCCGGTTGAGGTCCCGATGGCCCCTACGCGCATGTCATACGCAGTGGCCCCATCGTATTTGGTCATGAGGGCCGAAGGTGGGACGCAAAACCTCGAGCACGGTCTTCCAGCCCACGCGTCCTTCTGGCGCAAGCTTTTCCGCGCCTGTAATTTCAACGCGAGGCCTACAACCCTCGTACATTTGGATCTCGGCGCATCAGTCGTCCCAGGGATGCAAAAGGCTGATGAGATTTGGCGTTTCGAGGGTACTGAGAAGCCAGATGTGCTCGATTTTTCCGGAGGGGGGGTAAGTGTGAAGGGGCGGGCCTTGTCAGAAGGCTCGGGAGGCACGAGGGTCTCTGAGAAGTCCATCCGCTTTCTGACCAGGCCTTCTCCTCAGTTCCCCCCCTCTCCCGCCGCCGAACTTTTTCGAACTGCCATATGACATGGCAAGCTTTCCCGCGGGTTTCTCTCCAGGACCCCCAGCTCGTCTGCGCGCGCCCGAGTGGGGCCGATTATGGCGGCCCCCGAGCCCCGAGATTTAGTCGGGCGTGTCCCTATACAGGGGGAATATTCAAAAACAGTCTAAAAACAGTAAGGGGACGTTTTTTGATGATTGGTTGACCTTGTGCTGTGGTTGTTGATGATGCTGTTGTTGGTGTAGGAGTAAGCAGTAGTAGTAGTAGTAGTAGTAGTAGTAGTAGTAGTAGTAGTAGTAGTAGTAGTAGTAGTAGTAGTAGTAGTAGTAGTAGTAGTAGTAGTAGTAGTAGTAGTAGTAGTCGTAGTAGTCCTAGTAGTAGTAGTAGTAGTAGTAGTAGTAGTAGTAGTAGTAGTAGTAGTAGTAGTAGTAGTAGTAGTAGCAGTAGTAGTAGTAGTAGTACTAGTAGTAGTAGTAGTAGTAGTAGTAGTAGTAGTAGTAGTAGTAGTAGTACTAGTAGTAGTAGTAGTAGT